TTTCTGGATCGATTGTAAGATAAACTGAGGAATTAATTTTTGTTTGCTTCCTTTGGAAAATCATGATCGGACACAGCAACTGGTTCTTGGGATGTTTGTATATTTTTGAATATTTGTCCAATATAGAGATAGGAATCGATTCTCAATCCAGAATTGATTTTAATTTAAGGAATCGATTCTCAATCCAAAAGCGATTTTTTGAGCACAAATTACGATGACAGCGATGACATAACTGGTCTTTGATTTTGTTTTTCATTGCATATTGATTTTTTTTCATTAGAATAGTTGAAGTTGCACTTTTATTAGTTGAATTCATTCAAGTTTTGCTCAATTTGCTTTTGGAATTAGTATCACGATCAGAGTTATTAAACTCTAATTGGCAATAATTTCTTGGTTATTATCAATATTGACATTTTTGTTGAATGACAGAGTAGTTTGTCATGCGTTGTAACATTTGTCACAATCACGATTTTCCAATCGTTATTAATCAATTTTGTCTTTAAACTCAATTCTACAAAATTAATTGATTCTCAGAATTGATTCCTATCCCTAGTCCAACAGCCGGAATACCAAGAGAAAATTTTGCTTTATCATATTGTGATATAATCACAGTATAAGAAGCAAATTGTCATGCACCTTTGAGCATTGCAAGACAATGAGGATGCTTATCTGTATGCTCAGGCATTTTATTTCTTAGTACTAATTTGACTTGAATTGCCATAGGGTAATGATACCATTTGTCATTAATTTGTTGGACCACATATATGTATTGAGACTTGTATATGATATATAAATATTATATCTTTCTTCCATTTCTTTTCAAATGGTGGATAGTACATACTTTAATAGTTTCTTTTCGTCTTTTCATGGTAGCGCTACCAAATTCAATACACAAATGCAGCTGTTCAGGAAGATTTTAATTTTGAAGAAGAAAAGATGGTTGTCCAGGTGAGTCATATTTAATGATTTCTCGTTTTTCTTTGAAAATTTTGAATTTTTTAGCTTGACTTTTAGCTTGTAGATTGGTATGACGTTTTAATTTATTTCTTTTTTAATTTAGTGATTTGAACTAAAAAATTCGTGGCATCTTTGAGGACGCGTGCAATATTATATAATGCATTTAGTTCAGTGAGTTGATCCATAATTTTTTGTCGTGTCAAAGAATTTTTTGTGCTATTGTGGCATTTCAGTTAAAAAAATCGAGGTTTTAATTGTAGGTAAATTGGTTATATGAAAAAGATGTATACTGAAGGTGAGTTTGCAGATAATATTTATTTTTTGTTCTATAGTTTTGTTGTTTAAATTTCCATTTTTTTTTGTGCTTGCTGAAATATATCTTGTGCATTAGATGATTAGGTGATGCTTACTTATAAAAATTGCATTATGATAAATATGCGCATTACAAAAGTTTTCATATACATTTGGATGGATTCTTAAAATATATCTTTTATTGTACTTAAAAATGTTCGCATTATTAATTTTCAACGTTCAAAATATGTCAGTTTCATCACGAACAAATTTTTTCGCGTTCAAATCATATGATTTATATAATCACATGATATATATTATTAACACACGTGACTATAAGATTACATGTATTACGTATCGGTATCAGTATACCGATACTGTATGATAACCTCTTTCTTTTGTGTACGTACGTAATTTGTTACACAAATTTTACCTAACCATAAAGCTTTGTTAAAAATTTATAACTGAATTTAGAAATTTTCATTCAATGGTGAAATACAGGTATATACAGTCATCACCTTCCATATAATTACAAAATCAATATTAGTGACATTTTTTCAGTTATAAAGCATAAGAAATTTGATCTCCATATAGTCACATCCTCATTATAATCACAGTTTTTCATATCCCGAGAGTGTGTTTGTAGGGACATCAGACTGTATTGGATTAAACGATTAAATTGAAAAACTGACATACTTTAGTTTGTATATCGATATATTTTTTCGTCTAAAATGCCATTGAAAAGCCTGATCCTCCATTAAAAGAATAAAATTTTTGTTATTATGTATGTTACACAATTTCGAATGGTCAATTATATTTAGAATTAATTGATGCATGGACATTTAGCATTGTCAAAGTCAAGAAAATTTGTTCACTAGCAGTTTTTATAAAAATTTAAATACATAATAAAGAAATATGATTAATTTCTATGATTGACCAACGCAAGGCTATTACTGCTGGCCGACCAACGCAAGGCTATTACTGCCGAGTGTAAAGCTGTTAAAGAGAGGAGGGTCTTCCCCTTGCACATTTCCTGTGGCATGCCCTTGCACATTTCCTACAACATGATAATTATAGCAGTCCCACCACCAACAATCACTAAAATTTATATGACTATATAAATGTTACCCTAAAAGTGTATAAACTAAAACATTATAATTAAATTTCGTTTTAACTTACTTTCTTTTGATTGGCAATGAATTAACAACAAAATTATTGCATATGAATATCATCAAGACAAAAAACAGTTGAAAAAGGGTGACGAAATTTTTGGAGAGCATTTTTTCAAATTTTAGTCTTGAGACAATATCCAGTAACTTTTAAAATTTAAGGCACAAAATGCTAAAAGCAAAGCTTGGTTATATAAGAATCTGACTCTATTCTTTCTATGAAGATATTCTCCTTTCAATAATAATTCTTTGTTTCTTTTACATACATACATATGTAATACATGTACATGTACTAGAAGTTTCCTGAATTACGTATAATTGTGCAGAGTCACATGTATTTCATTGTAAGCATCTGTGTTTCTTTTATTTAGCCACCTCATGCACACATTCTCTATGAGAATTGATTTTTTTATTAATCCTTATACACAGAAGATTTCTTTATCGTTACCATTACGTTTTAATTGTAGAAAGAAATTCATTTGTGTACATATTAAAATTCATATTGATAAATCATAAAGTGTAAAAGCAAACGTGTAAGTTTAAAATAATTTATTTGTTGAAGAATCGAAATCAATTCATATATTATGCACATACTGTGGTTAGATTATGCTGCTATTTGTTCCTTTTATATCAGCATAAAAGCTTTGAATATTTAATGAAAATTTAGATACACTTAAAATTATTTAAATTTATCAATAATCGATACAAGCTGTGAATGTGTCTTCTTGGTATTATCCTAGACATGGCGAAAAAAATGTACGGTGTATATGATCTGAAATAGGTCCATTAAAATATCCGATTAATATTAGATATCAAGTACATGTATTAGGGTTAGGGTTGTCTCCCCAACATTTTTTGATAGTGCGCCAAGCTAGATTTAGACATCTGTTTTTTATATTTTACGCATTTTTTGTCTTTTCTCATATTCTGTCTTCTTTCATCTAATTGTACCAGATTTGCTTTGTCGGATTGGTTCATCATCACATGCACCGCACATTTTTTTCACCATGGCTAGGGTACTATCTTGGTATGTCACGTATTCGGATTTTGATTCGACACGAGTACCGAAGTCGGATTATTCGGAATCTCTGCAACATCAACATAAATTTTTGTTATTGTTGATTGAAAATTTTTTTTACATGTACATGTATTTCTTTCTTCGACTTTTCAACATACACTGGGCGAAATTTGTTGGCTGTAAATATAACACACCGCCTCCAGCTGACCGACTTTGATGAAGGTAAAATGGTAATTTTTATTAGGGTTTTGAGTGCCGTAATCCGACGACGGGATAATGGTCTCTTGCCGAATACAAGAGAAATAGAAAAAAAGAAAATTACCAGGTTCTGGAAGGTCGAAAGCTCTTAACAAGCAAGAAAAACTGCACATTTACAAGCCAAAAAGATAACATAAGCCATTTCGTAATATTGTCAACAAAAATCTTTGTAAAAATTTACCCGAAAATTCTTCAAGTGTATTCATCCTTTCTCATAATATATTATGCTCATTAATTTGGAAAATATGGCGTTTCAGCTTAACCCTAATTCTAAAAAGATCACGGAATAGGTTCAAGAGAAGAATACTAATGATTATGAACAAATTAACGTACTCTCACAGACTTGGCTTCATAGAAAACATCTAGAAACCATTGTAGAACAATATTCTAAAATGTAAAAATTTTCAAAAACTGGGAACAAGCTCAAGTCTGCTCTGAAGGAAGTGTAGTGTAGTTAATGATACTTGACGATGATGAAACATTTCGTCACGACCATTTTGAAAATGTCTGGCGAATGACGAAACCTGTGACGAATGGCGAAATCTGACGAAACCTATGACGAAACCTCCTGACCAATAAATACTAGTTGATGCCGGACATTTTTGTAAATGAACGAAATGCGCAAAATGCATACATGTATTTAAATATCAATAATCCGTGTACATGTATTGATTTTCACGAAACCTTTCGCCACTTTGGAAATGTAAGTGGCGGATGACAAATCGTCTGACGAATGACAATTTTGGCAAACTAAACCATAAAAACAATAGGTCAAGTCAAGCTTTATCAATTTATTGGTTTATTTTTTACCAGATATATATTTAAAATTATACACTTTTTGTAATGCTAGCCAAAATTCAGCATAATTTTGATCGTTTATGACCTCAATCAAACACGTACTAGATTTCTCATGATGTAACATTCTTTTAAAATTCGGAATACGTATACGTATTTGTACATGTGATTTTAGCTATTATTTTGATTGGTCAGAAGGTTTCGTCACTAGTTTCGTCATCATGAAAACAGTTTCGTCAGGTATCATTAAGTGTAGTCAAAATTTAATGTGTTGATTTGAGGGAAGGTTGTGGCTCGATGCCGTAAGGAATCGAGGTAATATTGAAGCCATATAAAGGGTGGATAATGTATTAGTTAATATATAAAGAAGAATAAATTTTCATTTGTAAAAAAAATTGGGCGTTACTTTCTGTGGCAACTGTACATGTACAAGAAAAAATTGCCCAAAACTTATGAGTTTGGAAGAATAGATCTCCGAATCAGAAGAACAAAAAGAGGAAATATCGGAAGCCTTATCTTCTTATACCGTCAAAGCGTCGAAGTATCAAGTTCTCTGCCAGTATATTGTGTAATCGATGGTCTTCTGATTTCTCCCTCCCCCTGTCTGTTCGAGTCTGAACAATTTCGAGCTGTAATTTATATTCGAAAAGGTCGTGTTGTTTGTAGAATTCTTTGAAAGTTGGCCATTCTTCTATAGGTTCATCATGGAAAATTACTTAGTCTCAGTCTTCTTAATAATTCAGCGACCTTCCTTTCCATAGTGCTTTTCCAACACTGATTCCTCCTTCAAGGATTATGACGCTCATTTTTTCTCGACCACGAATGTCGGTTGTTGTTCTTTGATTTCTCTCAAGGAGATTTCAGTATATACTTCGGTGATTCTATAGTTTTCAGAATTTCTATCCACTTCTTCTGCAAACGTTTTCTCTAATATAAAATCATTAATAATAAATTCCGTTTGTTGATTTATCATTTCTTGATAGTAAAATTGATTTCCAATGAATATTGGTGCGATTTTGGCTGTGGTTGTGTGTGTGATTATTTGCTAAAGCAGTTTTTTCGAAATAACTTCTGGTGTTGCGGTGAGCCGTATATATTCAATAATACTAAAAATACTTTTTCGCCTAGCATTATTTTGGTTTTTCCAAAGTTTTCTGCCTCGAGTGCGTGTTTCTTTTAAGGAAATAACTGGTCTGGTATTATTACTGAGTAACTTCTGTCTTTATATACTATCATGGTATGCGTCTTTGTTTTGTAAAATATTTGTTTTTCGTGATTCAGTTTTTTCTCGTTCAAAACCACACTCGATTCTTCCGATGATATTATAATTTTTAACTTTTCCCTGGAAATTAAATCCTAATATAGTCGAACCTCCATAAGCATATCATATAAAATCTTAAGCACATCATGTTTGAATACCAATTACTATTGAACCTATAGAAAGAAACCTCCATATAGTCATAACCTCTCTATAAGCACATTTTTGAAAATGTTATTGTGTTCCCGACGGTGTAACTACATGTATATGGATGTTTGACTGTACCATTCAGTCAGAATTGTAGTCAATTTTCAAATTAGTAATTGTGGTCGGAGTTGTTATCAGGATTCTCGTTTTCTGATTCTTTTATTGTTTCATTTTGTTTGAATTCTATTTTACAAACTTGTCGTCGTATATTATTTGAACTGTTTTTCGTTTTGTAACTGTTCTATTATTGTTTCAATAATTCTGTTGACTTTTTCTACTCTATACGTCCTTACGAATTGGAATAGGTTATAGTGATTCAGGTGGCACCAGCGGGTTTGTTGGATATTTTGTTGTTGGCCAAAAGAAAAAGGTATCTTTGTTTGTCGTTGTAAGCGATATTTATTTGCTTCATTGCAGTTCCTCCCTGATCATTCTTAGTGACATTTTTATATTCGAGATTTCAGCTACAAAGAATTCGACAAGTTTTTCATGTTTCCAGATTTCTACCATTTCACCCATTCATAATTCGCAAAATCAGAACCAAAAATTCTTTCTCGCAACAAAATCAATTAAATAATTCAATGGATAAAAGAATAAGATAATGAAAAAATTATCCATTCGACTTTAACTTATTATAAAGATGGATTTACTGTTAGTGATTCCTTGCGTAATGGACAATTTTCAATTTTATTCGTCTCGGTGATCATTTGGTACACTCTCTTTGACACACATGACTGATTTGATGCTTGTTGCAGAAAATCCAGCTCATAAAAGTTGGACAAAGAATTCAAACCAATCTTAAGCTTGCTCATGGTTCCAATGAGAATCCTAGTTATTTAAAAAATGTAAAGAAATATTGTGAATTATTCCTTAAATTAAAGTTGGATTATTTCAATATTCGAATACATGATCATGGACAATCTGCCTACAATCTTATAGAGCGTAGCATGTCCACTCTTTCAGAAATGTTGGCAGTTATCATCTTACCTGTTGATCATTTTGGCTCCCATCTTGATACTGCTGGCAATATCAAAGATGTTGATTTGGCAAATCAAAACTTTCGTTATGCTGTGTAATATTTGCCAAGACTGCATTCATGGAAAACAAGTTGCTGTTGAATATACTGATCAAAAAATTGACTCTTTTGATGAAATTTTGAGCTGGATAGAAAACCATGTCAGTATTCATTGGATATTAGAAAATACGGAATTCCAATCGCTGTTCTAAACGAAGAGTTAAAGAAACAGCCACTTTGCTAGCTGAAAATGATGGAATTTTACCACCTGCCACCAAAGATCGTGATGGTCATTTTCACAGTTCTATCCATTTGCTCCAGAATATGGATAAATTAAAACTTCCGGGCTTTGATCAAAATTGTCCTTCTATCCCTTTCGAACTCTATTCACACCTTGTTTGTTATATATGTCATTGTTCCTTTTCCTACCCTCATTCAACATAAAAAATCAAAGCACCCTTCTACTACTCACCGAGGTCGAAATTCTAAGGTTCACGCAATGACAGAAGATTATCTTCCTAGTTCTGTTTCTTTAAGTGGAGAAATAGTGCTGGAAATTTCGTGTTTTTCTGATGTAGAATAATAGTCATGATATCTATGAAAATTTGGTTTGGGTAGATAGTGTGATGTAAGTATATAGCTACAATAACTTATAGTATTGCTCTATTTCATTACGAATACTTGCTCATTAGTAATGAATGGGCTGGAGCATTTTCTTACCGCTTCAACTTGCCTAAAACCATCTTCAGTCAGAATGTGAAGCAAATTTGATAGCTTTGAAGAGGTACATCAGGCTTATCTCAGTTTAATAGAATACCCAAACCTTTCCGCACAAACTGTCGCCATGCTGTAATCTTGCAAACAGGAAATTGAAAGCGTGCAATGAAAATATATATTATCAGTTGCTCTTACAAAACCTGATTGCTTTCTGAGTGTCGCGCATTGATCAGCACAAAATAAATGACATTTTAAGTGGCTTTATTGTGCATCCTATCGCTATATACATTGATTGCAAAAATAAACTGACCAATTAAAAATTTTATTTGATTGTTATTGACATTGTTGAAATTGATTTTTCAAGATCACTTCCATCGAAAGGCTCACATTTATCAAATATTCACCAAAGAATCCACTGGATTTGGTTGCAATAAAACCAACATGGAGAAACTGGACACCCAGGAATCCTTACTCTAATCAACACTAGTAGTCTCGTAAAAATACCAAGAGAAATCAATCAACTTTGGATGCTTATATTTCTTCCAATATCCAACCAATTTTGTGATCTGAATTCAAAGAATATTCATCTTGATTAGATGAATCAAACCTGAGTTCGCAAAATTCTGAACACAAATTGGTAAGATATTGTTGCCTCATGATCCATCTGTCATTTTGCAATTTTTTTATGCACTAATTTTGGTATCAATATCTCCACAATATTGTTCCAATTTTGTTAATATACAATCAAATAAAGCTCTGTTCGGGTCAGGTCGAATCGAGTTTGAGGTCAACCCGAACCGATAATTTCTGGTCGGATCAGATTCGGATCGGTTTGAGCCGAAAATCGTAAAATAATTTTTAGTTAATAACTTTTATTTTTACTAAGACACTTGTATTCGATGTCTAAGTAGAGTTGTTCGGAATGTAATTGTGTATATACCCACCAATTTTCGTTTAATTCTAATTAATATTGAACGAGAAATAACGATTTTTAGGCTGATCCGAAATATTTCGAGTCGGATTACGAATTGGACCCGACCCAGTTGAGCACTACAATCAAAGTTCTTTACAACAGCACTATATATATCAGATTCAGCTTATTGATATTCTGATTTTTATAAATTTTAATTATTTAAACCTCACTATATACTGAAATTTATAATATAAATACTATATGCCAGTCAAAAACACAAATTCAATATAGAGGTTATAAAGAACTTTGACTATAAATACATCTTAATTATAGAACTATATATTGCAAAGATCTGATCATATGTTCCAGAAATATGAATATTTAATAATTTCATATTAAAACTGGAGATCAGTCAAAATCTGTGATGACACAAACAAAATAAAAAAACTAGATATTCTACAATAAAAGAAATACTAAATATTTACACTTAAAAACTCAGTATAAAATCAAACTGAAAACTGGTCATATAAATTGTTAAAAATGGGATTGACTACCATTTTCATTTTGTTAATGTTGCAAATTTCTTCAAATTTCGAATTTGATCTCATAACAGTGATATTAATATTTTTTTCATTGGTGAGGATTCAGCCTGGGCCAAATTACATTGATTTGTTTTTGTTTGGTATTATACAAAATTCAGTCAATTATTGAATGTATTATAAATATAAGTCATATATATTACGTTAATTTAGATACTTATAAGATTATCTGAATTGATTTAAGTATTAATTTACTAAACAGCTTTAATGATTCCTTATGGTTAGTAATACTATTATATTTTTTAGCAATTGATACTTATTTTATGACAATTAAAGACATCAGATTATTGTGTTTATTGCAATAATCAATTAATTCAAGGAACTTTCTGAGAGCTAGGCTGAATTATTTACATTCAAAGAGTTTCTCAGATTGTTTCAAAGGCTTTCTGTAATAACTTGTTCACAGATTGACATTTTTAATAATAATATAAAAAGAAAAATAAGATAATTTCACTTCTTGTAATAAGAACCAAATTACTTTAATATATTTATTAATAATTGAAATGTTAACAAATATGGCAGATCTTATTAATATATTCTATCTAAAAAACAAATCTAATTCAATAAGACTAATTGATATGATCTGTATAAAGAAAACAAAATTTATTCAATAAGACTTATTGGTATGATCTGTATAAAAAAAATTGATTCAACAGGACTTATTGATATAACCTGTCCAAAATAACAACTAAAAGAAATTGACAGCTTATTTAGAGTGGAGAAACATTTACTATTTGCAATTTTCTAACAAGATTTGAAGTTTAATCATAAAACAAAAGAAAAATAATATTGTATTTAGAAGTAATGCCACTATATTTGATTAGAGCGTGATCAAAAGCATATACATGTATTTCCAAAGACTCAAGAATGTTTCTTTTTGTACAGTTTTAAATTGCTATGCTAATTCTATACTACTTTTAAGATTAGTATTTTTACATTGATTATTTCTCCCAAAACTTTCTAAAAGCCATTAAACAATAATTGTCCGACATCTTTCAATTGTCCAAATAATTATTGTCCTTTCAATAATTACTATCATTGCGTACATTAATATTGAAGAATGATGGGGCTTACAGCAACAAAAGAAAAGAAAAGAAAAAAGATAAGTTATTCACAATGAAATATTTCTAAATTGGTTTAGCATAAGAAACTAATTTTAGAAAGATTATCACGTAGGGAATTATGGAAAGATGTTCATGTGGAAATTAGCATTAGGAGCAAAAATTATGAAATCAAAGAATTTAATGCTACTACTGTAACAATACATGTATATGTAGATTAAAAAATGAATGAAATGGTCTTTCCAACGAAATTGGCCAGTAATAAGAAAAACCATATTTTGACACTAATAAAGACCAATGGAAGCTATGCTGTGCATTAGAATTAGGATTCGTTATGCAAAATGACAATTTTATATAAATAAATTTTTTGACTTTAAAAATTAGGTCGCCGGACCATTTTACATAGTCATGTGTTATGAGAGCCAAAAAATTTTATTTGTGGCCTTTAACTACACCAGTAAAGCATTATTCTTTTAAATCCCAAAAATGCGCATAAAATAAAAAGTTTCGGTTTGGATTGACATACGTATATACAATAAAATTTTGGACTCTCATTTTTTCATGGCATCGTTGCATTTACTCATCCAATGATAAACATCATCTAAGACATCATCCGCCATTTGCGACTCGTTTTTCAACCACTCGAGGTTTGCTTCTAGATGTTTTGTCATGTTCTCTGAAGTTGATAGGGAATCTAGCACCATCTTAACATTTTCATAGTGGTTGTTGTACCTAAAAAAAAATCAAATTAGTTTTGTGTTAAAAAGAACAAAATATGCAAATAAAAACTAACTTTAACTCGTCCAGTAACTCTAAACATTCGTCAATTTTTCGGTCATCCGAATTGCGATTATTGATTGTCATTTGCAATTTGATCTTTGTATCATCCATTTTTCCTTGCATCTTAATCAGATCTACGGTGTTTTGTACGATCAGACCTCTCAATAGCTTATGATATTTGTTCACTCTTGTTTTTCCCTTCTTCTCAACAACAAGTTTCCAGTGACATTCATTCTTGCAAAAAACTAGCATCTCTTTAAAAATCTTTTCGAGAATGGGGTCATGACTATGTTGACGAGATTTTTGTCGTCGGAGAGCACGGCGGAACCATCTTTGAATTTTGATGGCTGGTTCGTTAGCCTGAGAGGAATCGTGAATTCGACGAAACCAAACCTGGATCTCTGTGGTCGAATCTTGAGCTTCTTTAGAAATTTCAAACTTTTCACTGTTCTGATCATCACTAACAAAAGCGATTGGTAATACAGTGTTCTGTTGCCCATGATCATTTGATTTCCGTGGCAGTTGATTAATTATATCTGAAGAATCACTTTCTTTAGCACCTATCGGTGATATGATTTGTTGAAGAGCAAAATAAAATTGCTTAATAGAGTTATATTCAAGCTTCACAATGCCATGTTGCTCTAAGTTAGAAAATTTTGACGAGCCGCCCCTGTGATAGTGAACGATTACTAAGGAGTCACAATCTGTCTCCTTAAGATCCTTGTGAAGAATGTTCGCAAGGCGACCCATATATCTTTCGTTCAAGTATCTTATGAGTGTTGGAGAAAATACTTTGTCTTTCAGAGGTTTGTACCAGTGTTCAAAAAGATCAATGACCCTGGTTTCAGAAGTAGTTTCGTTTAGGCCTATGAGAACCAAGAGCCGTATTAATCTAAGGATGGTAGTCAAATAAACTCGTTCAGTGAGGATCAGCAGTTCAAGAAGCCTTTGAACCTCATCAATGGAATTCGTAATTTCAACCAGATAGCCATCTCTGTTGTAACCGTGTGGATTGGGAATAAGCGGCTTCGCAGTAAATGCGTCAAAATAATTAACCAAATAAGCTCGAGGAAGGCAAAAATTGCAATACCCAGGACCAACCGCAAAAACCAAAGATGTTTTGAACTCCATAAGAGATACCAGATCACTAAATGCATCAGATGTATTCATATTGATTAATTTCGTATTTTTGATAGTATATTGAATAAAGATGTTAATATTCGTGATCGCATCTAACACGCGATAATTATAGAGATTTGAAAAGAATAATGAAAGTCTCGTTCCAACAGGAACAGCTTCATAATTTTCCGAGTAGTAATCAAATCCCACGGGTAATTCCTCAGGGTATCTTAACATTATTTTTTTTGACATTTCCGAATCAAATTTATAAATTCCCCATTTGTCATTTAATTGTCGAAGAACAAGCATGCATTTAAACATAGTCGAAAAGTCATCAGGCTTCTTAAATACTTCAGATGAAACCTTGTGAGCAAAATCAATTAATTTATAATGTGTGCTTTTAGAAAGTTCGGCAAGCACCGCATAAATAACTTCTGGACAACTTATTTGAGGTGATTGATAACGAATATGAACATCCACAAGTCTTTCAGCCCAAAATCTTTGTGGTCCAAGTACTTCTTTACTTTGTTCTTCTTTAAGAAGTCGGTGACAGTACAATACGTCTAATCGTTGCATTACAGTGTACTGAAGGCAAGCAAGTGTAAAACGTTTGCGCAGAATTGAGGGTGTTGGAATAACATGATGCTTTCGACAATCTTGATTTCGACAGGACATAAACTTAAAGCAGATTTTAGAACTTATATATTGAATTTGTCTACCCTTCTGACCAGCCTCCCAGATAAGCTCATAAATATATGAAGCAAGAAATTGTGAGATAGTCAAGTCCAAAGTACTCTCGTCGTACACATACCAATTGTCCAAGGTTTCTATAGCATCCTCTCCAATACTTTGATTCAAAAGTGGAACAAGAAGGTTGTCAAAAGAAATTTTTCGTTTTTGTAGATGGTTTTCGGCTTCGCTTACAACAAAAATATCCTGAAAATCCTTGTTTATTTTTGAAATATCATCATTTTCTCGAGGAGCTAAAAAGGGAAAGGCCAGTTCACACATTCTCAATAGATGTTGCAATCGTTCTTTCCAGTTCTCAGCCTGAATATCAGGGTTTGTAATATGCAACCAGTCCTCGGCCTGAATATGCAGCCATATGATTATTGCACGAAATTCAGTGACGCGATCTTTACGTTTTCTAAAAGTTTGCATATATTTGCAGATTCCATCGAGATTCAAATCCAAATAAGCATTATACAACTGGACCTCTTCTTTTAGGCTCTCCCATTCAGAGCTCTTGATAGATTGCAATCTGGCTTTAGCAATGATATTATTTGCCTTGGAAAGATGATCATTTAATTCTTTAAAGAAATTCGGACACGCGGGGTCTGTCATTATTTTTTTTAGTACTTTGAGTTTACATAAATACAAGCAGCATTGCAAAGACTCTATGAGATCATTGTCGTTGTTATCTGAACGAAGGAACATATCAGCAGCCTCATTGAACTTCCCGCGCAAGCGCAAGTCTTCAGCAGCGGCATGAAACAGACCATTCTTCTTGCAGACCTCCTGAAACTCTTCGGGAGCATGATCTCGAAGGAGATTTGTTTGTTCCTCTTGAGTTGGAAGAATAGAGAGAGCTTTCTCGCTCATTTTTGTATCGTGCACCCGGCGGTAATGGATATTAACAAGACATGTGATACGATTGAATATTTTCTTGTCAATTTTTTCTCTGTGACTTATTTAAAAAAAATATATACTAGGTTATGTCGTTTCTTAATATTAAACTTATTTGTGCTTGTTATTGCATATAATGATGAATGACTGAATATCAGGACATGAGTTTACCTTTGCATTAAATCAATGACTTTTTCATAATCTCGATCATCTTTATAAGCAACAACAGCTTCGGTGTACTTCTTCGCTTTTTCAAAATAATTTCCCGCTTTTTCAAAGTTTGGAACTTTAAGATAACAACGTGCAGCATGCTCAAACATATCCCATTCAAGATAAACTTCAACAGCTTTGTCATACATGTTGATATCCTGTATATTTTGCATAGTTTTAAGTGACAATTTAATATATCATGCATATTTAATTTGAAAAGATACCTCATAGCATGAACCCTCTTGTATCGGCTGAGAACACTTTCGAAATGCATCAGCTGCACGATAAAAATTCGAAATTACAGTATCTCTATCAGAGTTATTTATGGAGGTCCTTGCTAATTGACGAAGATAATAGGCCTCAGCTAGCATGAGATTGTCATCATTTTTACTCTTCTCGAAGCAGAAAATAGCCTGAAAATAAATTTCATTCTTTTAGTTTTCCATGTCATTAAATGATATTAAATATTGAAGTTGGTTGTAACCTGTTCATAATGTTGCAGTTCAAAAAAATTCTCTCCTTTTCGATCCCATTCTGCTGGATCGCTCTTTTTAGCTAATGCAGAGAAAGTACCGATTTCATCCACTTTGACTAGCCTATGATGTTCCCAGTATTTGCAGATTGGTTCGATGTATTCACTTTTTTCATCAAATATACAGATATGCTGCCGTGCCCTGGTAACTGCAACGTAGAGATGCTTAAGTTCAGAGGAAAGGATATAATGCTTTTCATGAGAAAAGGTTGGAACTCCCTTAGACTGGTTTTCCAAAGCAGTGAGAATTACTCGCCACTATATTATACACATATAACCGAAACAACCTTTAATATGACTTGATGTAAATGGTACAAAAATATGAGAATTTACCTTACGACGTCCAGGAGAATCTGTAAAGAAATTATACAACAGCACGTCATTAAACTCCATTCCCTTTGCCTCAAACACTGTCAGTACTAATCCAAACTTTCTAATTAGGTTTTTAATATTTGATTTAGACTCTTCATCCCGTACGATAATGACCTGCTCAGCTCCAAGTTCGATATCATTTCCATCAGAAAAGGCATTGAAATCTTGAAATTTCTTATAAACTTTAGGCCAAGGACCGCTAACATAAGAATGTTCACGTGATAGACGGTCAATTGATTCAGGAAAAAATAACCAAATGAGATCAATTATTGAAGCAGCAAGTCGAAGAATCCCATTATGGGAACGGTAGTTAACGTTTAACTCGAATTGTTTTGGTTTTATACTATGAGGGATAGTATTAGTTTGAATTCGAGTGAGTTCCCATTTATACATCAAGGCGCGTATGTCTACATTAATTCATTGAATACATTAATAGCAGAGTATTACTTTTAAGTTTTAAAGTAAGAGGAATGCATACTCTGGAATCGGAAAGAAGAGCCCTTGGCTATACATTGCGCTATATCGCCGGCCAAAAAAATACTGTCAACGCAGTTGAAGATCTTCAAGATAAGACCAAAATCCACAATCTGGTTATCCTGGCATTCATCGATGTATACTTCATGAATGTGTGGACTTCTAAGTGTTTTTTTTGTGGCGCAACGTAAAATAGCCAGCGTTCTACCAATAAAGTTTTAATAAATAATGAATTCTATCAAACCTAATAACTGTAGTCTTACCGATCTATCGAGTCATAATCGCCATTAAGTGCTTTAATCTTTTCATATCGCTGAAATAAATCGTAAATTTTGTCCCGGTTATGGAAAAATACAGGGTATTTTTTGGTGCTTACAGTCTGATATTCTTCTCTTGATAAATGCTTTCCTTCAGGATCCGATCCCTAAAGAAATTTCAGGAGAAATAGGTAAAAAAAATATAACAAATAAATAAAGGTTTTATACATCGATATGGCTACACACCTTAATAATAGAGAACTCGGAATAGACCAGCTCACAATCCAGTTTATCCTTATCTAAACGATTCCAATATCTTTCCTTAAAAACATTATAATCCACAAAGTGAGTCCATGGTGTATTGCCAAAGAATGATTTAGAATGAAATTCTTTCTCGTCATCATTATAAACGTCCTCATCTTCTTTATTTATTTTCGATTGTTGAATTAGTTTTTGAGCGTCAATTTCATAAGTCCCCTCAAGCATTTCGGAAAACTTTTCATAAGTAATAAATAACGGGAAATGATCCTCTTTCAACTGAGAAAATGAGTTTGGAATGGAGCTTAGATCCTTATTATTACCAAGAATTTTGTTCGAAGTTAGATCAATATCATAGCATTCCTCTTTTTTTCTAGCATACTCATAGAACTGAGCTTGCGACATTTTTTTCTCAGCAAGTGCTGCCGATTTTCGTAGCCTATAAAAGTATTTCTTTACTCGGCGACATAGACCTTGACTTGTTGTGATGAATAGTTGCCTTTTGTGAGCGAATGGATGACTTGGATTGCTGAGATAAGAGGCAATTAATCTGTACACGATGCATGTGGTCTTGCCTGTGCCTGTAAAAAGATAGAACCAAAAAATTGTTCATGTTTTCCAAATCATGACGGCTAAAACTAAACTACTAACCTGATCGACCGATTATGATAGCTGAGGTGGGATTTTTGATAATCTCGTACTCTACTTTTGACACCTGAAAAGTAAACTCGGAGCCACCCATTACCAGTGACTTAAACAAGTTCTGTAAACAATATGTATCTATATCAGTTGAAATATGTTCCAACTTTCAAGGTTCTTAATTATAATGCCCATTTTACCTTTGATAAGGGAATGAATTTATTGCTAACAAGCATTTTATGAATCATTAACAGCTTTTCATCGTCAATTTGGGAATTGTAGAACTCGTTCTTAGTGGATCTTATCTCTTCCACATCTCCAAAGATTTTTGGTGAAATTATGTCATTTCCGCCAATTTGTTGAACAGCACACCGGGAAATTTGCTCAGCTGTGTAGACTTGATGAAACATCTTGAAGTATTCAACTATATTGTCAATCCGATTTTGGTTTGTAGTGACAGCCCAAACTTTCACAAGTTGCGTAAGCTGATAGCTACGAATAGAAAACCCGTAGTCAACCTGCCAGAGAATTTTCAAGCCGTCATGACCATGGAGTTCTGTTTCATAAACCGGAATTGAGAGAGATGGTTCCATAAGTTTAAGTCCGTGCTTCGCCCAGGCCCCAGAAGATATATTACCGAGTTTTTTCATGACCGCTTTAAGCTTCAGAGGTGATTCCAAATGCAACATATCTTTTTTTGCGCTTGCACTGATCAGAATATCCCATGGGCCAAGGTTGTCATTTTCATTAAACTCAAATGGAAGACAGAAAATGCGTTCCGATTGTTTAAATGTTTTATTAATATCCGTTAGCTCTTTTTCCTCCATGAGCGAAGAATATTTATCAGGGGAAAAACGAATGAGTTCTTGTTTCTGACAACTTTGACAGGGCGAAAATTTCATTAAAAGCTAATTAAAGTTATAGAAAAAATTAATTGTATTGTTTACAAATCAAAAATATAACCAAGCTTACCGGAAATGTATTTAATTTTTGTTGCTCAAATGCTTGCAAATAGCGGGGTATATCTGATGACTTTTGTGGTGCTGACATTCCTAATAGTGTATAGCGTGGTTCATTGTTGTTACATAGGATAGGTGGCAATGAGCGTTTGGCATTCTGGTAGCGCCTAAATTTATCTATCAAAGTACTACAAGCTTTGTATACGGAAAACGCCTCAGATAGCTGAGGTGTGAAATTCTTATGCTCAGAACATTGCTCCACAATAGCCGCAACCGAATCCACCATTTTCAGTAGATTTTCTTTCTCTACCCCATTATTTATGTTTAATTCAAAGATGCGTTGAAGACAATGACGACCATGCGACCCTGATATTAAAACCCCCAAGACACTGTCTGAATCCAGGATTTTGATCAAAGCATCTTTAGTTATCTGAATAGCAATCTTGTCATTCTGCACCCGCATAAGAAGCTCGAAGCAGTGGTCAAATATTTCTCCAAAGCCCAAAATATCACATTGATGAAGGTTCTGTATAATGATGCGATCGGTTAAAAGAGAAGAAAACTTTTGAAGTGCTGTGTTACGCCTGGGATATTCTTCCAATAATTGCGAAAGAAAAGTTTTTAAGGTAGGTATATATAATTCAAAAGAGTTGCACAACAGTTCCGACAGTTCATTGACGAAATCTTCAAGCTCATAACTTGAGGCAGCGTGACATCTTTCCATCAAGATGTGTAGTTTCTGTCCGTCGCTCTCAGAGCCCGCAAAACTTTCGAACAGTTCTATGAGCGAATTGTTGTCCATTAGATGTGGATTCTCTATTTTCTAAGGATATATTGAGGTTTTATTTCGATAGAACGGTTTAAAGGTGCTTTCCCACGATGCTAATATTCTCACACTAAAAATTATATCACACATAAACTATAATATATCATGAACCGAAACCATTATCAGGTGCTAGTATGCTACTTAATATGTGTATATTCGCAAAAATGAATACATGTACTAATTTTAGTTTATATTTGTCTTATGTAGAATGTTATGTCTCCTACTCAAAATTGATGAAGAGAATAAATATCGTTATGTATTTATATTATATAATAAAAAAAGATGCTTTACAAATATAATCAAAGCTCAATTAAGGAATTTATTGTTAATTCAAATTAAACTGATTCTAAAGAATGAGTTATTTTAAAATTAAAACTGGTTCGGCTTCTGAATTATTCAATTTTGAACTGGTTCGATTATTTAAAATCCCAATTTATAGGGATACTTTTTTGTGATTTCATTTAGATTTGCAGAAAATACTCAGGATCAGTGAGTAAACTAGTTTGGGCATTTCAACTTGTCGAAACTTAAGTATTTACTACATCTCTAATTTCACCTCATCAAGTTCACCTAATTTCGGATTTTAATTTAAGATACTCTTTAATTTCTTCACGTGTTTTAGACTATTCTAAAGAGCTGTGGTACTGAAAGTGCAAAGTATTCAATTTGTTGTTGATTACCAGGTTGTAGTTAGAGTAGATAATTCGCAATATCCGGGATATCTGTTTTATAGATGTAATATAGGGGGTGAAGTCAGTAGAAAAGGGACAAATCTATTAGTATAATTTGTCCCTTTCCACGCCATAAGACTTCGGTCAGTTTTTTTTGGTAATTTACGGTACGGTTCGGTAATTACTGATACATTACCGAAATTACCGTATCTTTCATGTCACGAATATACATTTGAAAAATTATTTTGTTAACACTAAGCTAAATGTATACAAAAAGAGGTTTATTAACGTTATAGGTAAAAAAATTTTATACTGTACTTATTTTCTTTGAAAATTAGAAGAAATGTGGGTTAAAATCAATAAAAATAATTACGATAAAAACTGTCGCAGTTGATCATTTGACCGAGTACATACTGAAAACTGATACCGATCGGAAATTATTCAATCCATTCAGTTTCGAATAATCTCAGTGAAATTACTGACAGAACGGGTTTATCGATCGGTCAGTCAGTAATGGTTTTTATTGATCCGTTCGGAGACTTCATTCACCCGTTATAATCTTGTACATTGACAATCAAAAGTAATGCAACAAATAATTTAAATTCTTTAAGTGATATATTTTCATAAATATATAATTAATAAATATGTGGCAGCACAAGCAGAAATCAAGAAATTTAATAAAGGTTAATTTTGGGATAATTGAATTTTAATGTTATTCTACGCAACCATCGAATGGCATAAAGCAATGCATATCTGTTGGCCAATTTCATGGTCATAAGCCAATTTTCATATGAAATTTATAATAAAATTAAGGTCATATAGGTCATATCAAAGTCGTTGACCAACATACCCGATACATATCATCAATTAAATTAATATTTAGAAATTAAATTTAAAATTTTGCTTGACGAGGAAAAGAATTTTCACATATTCCAAATATTCCAATCATATAAAGTGATTTAAATAGGTTGAGCTATTTAAAATTAAAATAAAATTTTAATTAATATAATATTTTTAATGTTAAATAATATAAAAAGTATACTTTCAGAAAAATCCCAAGAAATATGTGTTTCTATATCAAGACTATTAGGAATTTTGGATGTAGAAATGAAAGTTTGATATAGCTATTTTGGAATTTGTAATAAATTTCTATTCAAAAAACTCTAATTCATTAATAATTAAAATAATTTATATGGTGCATATGGTGCATAAAATCTAAAGTCATCAAACATTTGTATTTTATAAATGTATAAACTTCTTTATTAAGAAATAAATACAAAATTTAATCCGTGAATATGCTCAGAAAAGGCCTATTCTATCATATTCACGGATTAAATTTTGTATTTACTTCTTAGTAAAGAAGTTTATCCATTTTATAAAATACAAACGTTTGATGACTTTAGATTTTATGCACCATAGATATTTAAATTTAATTTACCTATAGTATTCTTATTCTAATTTAGCCCAATTATGAATATTCTATTATTCAACAGTATTTTCGATTGCTTTTTCAGGTATTGAATGTATTATAAATCTCATTCTTTTATATTTCATTTTATATATGCATATAATTCTTTGCCTGATTAAATTATTTTCATCTTCTAAAATTGAATTTATATTTTCGATATAATGATGTAGGAACAGGAATCGATTTTAATTTGAGGAGTCCAGACTTGATTCTCGAGTACAATTACATGTACGACAATGATGACGATGAAGACAGCAATAATAACGATGACGGCGATGACATAACTGGGCTTTGGTTTTGTTTTCATTGCATGTTGATTTTTATCCTTTTTCGTTGGAATAGTTGAAGTGTATTATTGCGTTCTTTCAGTATTTAGTTAAAAGAATTTATTTTGTAATGGATGGAGGTGTTACTTTCGGGAGTACAATCACTTTATAACGTATTATAATTCTTTTTATGTATTATTCTCCAAAGTGTATGTTTTGAACATCATAAAAAACCTTGAGGTTAACGTTAATACATGTGTAACCTATTCAAAGGTAAAAAAAAGAGACATGTAAGCTATCGTATCGTATTATATGTACGCACGTACGTGTTATGTATTATTTTTAAAAAAAATGCAATGCTAGAATCTAACATGCGTAATTCTACAATCTAACATGTAATTCTACATTACTCCGCATCCACCTTGCCAATATCCCCAAGCACACATAGCATTAGTTTTAACTTAACATCGTTAGCGATTGTAGTCGAGCTGCTTACATCAATAAAACCAATACTAGTCGAAGCGAATTTTGTATTACCTTTAACTTCTTTTGTAAAAGGCATTGCTTTTGTTGTGGAAAAAGATGACGAGAAAGAAGAATGATTTTGTACAGTTTGAGAAGATGTTCATTTTTGAGATTATTGAGTAAAATAAAAATTCTATCAAATATATTAGGGATAAGAATAGTATTTATACTATTCCATTTTTATGCGCATTCAACCGAATTAATAGTATACTTAATTATAATGACAAAATACAAATACAATACAAATAGCAATGATGATAGGAAAATATTGTTGACATGTTGTGTTATTGACGTATTGTGATTAAAAAATAGTACAAATATCATCTATTTATCTGATTTATTTATAAATTTGTTGTTTCTCATTTTATTCTATCAAAAAGAAAATGCCTAATGCAAGACTAGCAAGCGATATTCTAATTGGAATTTTCGCTAATTTATACTGTCACGGGGGGATCGTGATTATGCGTAATCGATGATTTTACCAGCAACAATGGGTTGGGGGAGTGATTAGACTGAGGTAGTGTTCGTTCGTTTCTAATTCCTGTGCTGATATCTACGGATATCGTTCAGTATAATGATAGAGAGGGGAGTTAGGATGGGTCGGTTTTTAGGTGAGATAGTTTTGGGTTTTATGTTTTATGTGACGGTTTATCGATAATATTTTCCTATTAACTTCCAATCGTTGCTTTTGCTAGCTAAAAGTCTTAAACTGTTCAATCACAAAGCGCTTTTTCAATCAATCAATCAATATGCCGTTTAACAATACCAACGCCTTTTCTGGATCAAAGGACCTAACCATAATCAATTACAACAATTTTACAAGTATAATTTTCTTGGAGAAGAATTGTGCGCAATTTAATTCTGTGTCTTTATTAACGTCTGCGAGGACTATATATACATATTTTTGATTACATTGTATCAGAACTTGTTCATAATGCACTCCACTATTTAAGAGAGAATTTAAGATTGAAAAAGAAATAGAAAACAAGAGCAAGATCAAAAGCGAAAACAAAATAGAAAACAAAAGCGAAAACAAAATAGAAATCAAAAGCGAAATTAAAATAGAATTTTAAAGTGAAAATAAACTAACGAAATCGGGTCAGGCGGGTTTTACCAAAATTGGGAGATTAACGAAATTATTCTTAACCCGGTAACAATGGCTTACATTGAGTAATAAATGGAATTTTTGTAACCTCTCCTTTCAAATCTATAACACCATCACCTCTTGTACATCTAAATAAAAAAATAAATAAGTATTTGTTGTTATCAAAATAAAATAAGTTCGATTATTTTATTTATATATCCTATTCACCACAGTCTCTCCGAACAGGTGACTTTTCAAGAACATTCATATAAAACTATATGTAATATATGCCACGTTGTGCTTTCAATTCTCCTAGTGACAGCATAACTTCAGATACATAACAACTCAGCAAATACTCAGTTATATAATCACCTTATTCTGTAACACTCTACGGCGTAACTTGTAAAAATTCTTAAAGTTTCAATTTCAAAGTCGTTTCTGTTAGTAAATGAACTCATGACAGCTTTACTTAATATTTTTTTGCAGTTAATCGAATATGGTTATGTAACAGTAAGCACCCATATTATTTTAGTAAGCATACACAATAGTAAGCATAATAAGCCTCAACCTTAATAATAATAACAAACCTCACCATAGCATGCCTCTCCACATTCTCAGCTATTACTAGTATAGGTTGATTAGTAAGTATTATGTTTTTATATTTTATAGTGCTTACAGTCACTGGCGAAAGTAATATTAAATGATCTTTTTGACATCATGCAAAATACCACATAAGAAAATTGATTTTTTTTAAAAATATAAAAGCAAAAAAATAGACAAATAATCTTTATTAATGGGCTAATACTTAGTATGCTCTCCTTCTGTCTCAATGCATACTACAATTTGATTTTGCATGCTTTTGATATTACTAATTAGATTGTCACATTCTTCTCTAATTATATTCAAAAATACATCCTGAAAAATTGGTTTTTTGAACAATCCAAACATTTTTAATAGGGTTGAGAAGAAGATCAAGCAAGAATATGCCACAAAAAATGAGCTACCAAGTCATTTTGCACATTATTGAACATGTGCTTTGAATTATTATCTTGTTGAAAGATCCAATAATAACTGTGTATCACATCTGCATTATCACACAAGTGATCATTTAGTATTTCATAATACAAATAATGATTCAGATTTTGAGTGAACATATATATTTCAATTTTTCTCTTAACACTGATCACTGCCAAATATGCACTTTAAATAAATATTTTATTATCTGTGCAATAGATTGTGTATTATACAACCATGTGAGAAGAATATTATAAAATATTTGAATTATTGTTTCATCAGAAAAAATCACTTTTTGCCAATTGTATCACATGTGATTATGAGTTCATTTTAATCAATATTTTTTGCTTGTTGATTCAAAAGAGAAACTTTCCAGTAACAAAACCAAGGTTATTATATTCACATCAAATAGTACATTCACACATCTCAAGTTCTGGATCCTTTTTTTCAAGCTTGACCTTTAGTTTAGTTGCTGTAGTAAAATGATCATGTTTTATAGTTATTCCAATTTGGTGACATTTTTGAGAGGTCAGTTTTCTTGGATGACCAAAATGAGAACCAACTGAAATTTTGCCAGTTTTTTTTGCAATAAACTGACATATCACTCTATGAGCATAAAAAAATGCTAGTTCATCATGAAATTTCCTTGGCATTGTGAATATTTTGTCTCCATAATAATTAACTGCATTTCAGTTTGCTTCGAGAAGGGATAGTGGCATTTTGGACGGCAAAATTGCAACAAATAACAATAAATGAAGATCAATTTTTATTGTTGATTTTTAAAAGTAACGTTCCATTACCCAATTTGGTACATGTATAATAAACAAATACATGTATACCAATCGGGCAAATGTGAATACTGTACCCAAAAAACCAAAGTGTATTTATACTGCCGGTGACTGTAACATGAGCAGCAGTGATTAATATGTTTACCGTTACAATAAAGATCTGCAGAGATGAAATTTCAGATTGGTGAAAAATGTCGGTAGATATCATGTGAATTCTATTTTTATTGGAGATTCAAGATAAATTTGACTATTTTTTATTGGTCAATAGAACAGGTAATACGAAAAATTAGTCAACAACTTCATAACTACATGTATAATGAAAATGATTAAATAGGCTTATAGAACTCACGAATTTATTTAACTAGCATAACGATGCGATAAATTATTGACTTATGTTCAATATCGATAGGGAAGCTTAAATAAGGGGGATCGTATTGAAAAAATGGTGGTTTTCAAGTTATAGCATATGATTGGATTGCTTTATTTTAGGAATTGTACTTGTTGACTCAAAACGACGTTTTCAGGTTGGGGAAGGATGAATATATTCTTCTATCATTGTTCTCGTTACTTACTAAAGACGCTGATTTGTTCAAGCGTTATTTTTTGATGCTAACAAATTAAAAATGTGATTAAATAACGATAACGCATATATACAGTGGTGTTCAAAAGTATTACATCACTGAAGCGAAAAAACAAAAAAGTCAATTTTTAGTAATATAAACATCACAGATATATGAACTTGATTTTTTGGTCTTTATTTACATCAAACCAGCGATGCATTTCTTTTGATCGTCCCCCCGCAAAAATAAAGTATATAAGCTCATCAAAAAAAAAACACAACAAAACAATTCACACACCCTATATATAAAATACACCCGAGAATTTACTCTTTCATCCCATACCATTCAAATTATCATGGTACACATCCCCATCGAAAAAAGATTTTGAATTTATACCCTTCTTCAAGAAGGATATTCCTCTCGTTTTATTGCAAACCGCGAAAATATTTCCCAATACACCGTCACAAGAATAAAGCAAAAAAAAATGACCTTTTAAAGATTTACCAAAACCAGGTTGTCCTAGAATTTTTATTAGTTGGGACAACAAAATATCATACGTCTAATTTCGAATGGTGATTGTCCCACTGCAACTTCCATCCAAAAAAACTGAAATCTGAAGATAAAATCTAAGTCAGCGCGAGCACAATAAAGCGAACTTCATATCGCAACAGCCTTTCTTCACGAATTAAGCGAAAGAAACCATCTTAAGAAAACACATTGGATTCAACATTTGAATTTTTCGAAAAAAACATCAGCACTGGACAACTGATGACTGGAGCAAAGTTATCTGGTCCGATGAATCAAAATTTATGATTTTTAATTCAGATGGACGTGAATACTACTGGAAACGTGATAATGAACTGTTAAAAGAGCATAATGTGAAACCTACAGTAAAATTTGGGGCGGAAATATAATAGTTTGGGGTTGCTTTCATTCTTCGGCGTTGGTAATATCGTGCGCATTTATGGTCGTATGAACAAGGAATTGTACCGCGAAATTTTAAATGATGACCTTTTAGTAACAATCAGGTGATATAATCTTGATAAGAATGATATTGTCTTTCAACAATGATCCAAAACACACGGCAAAGTTTACTTATGAATGGTTTGACGACAATAGTATTCATACACTTGATTGGCTTGCGCAATCACCCGATCTCAACCCAATTGAGCATCTCTGGAACAAAATAGACCGGCATTTGAGAAGATCTTCCATTACAATTAACGTTAATACTCAAGAACAACTCTGGGACGCGGTACAAAAAAGCCTGGATCGAAATGGATAATGCATTTTTAACAAATATAATTGAAAGTATGGAGGAGCGTAGTCGATCGATGCATAGGGTGGATACACTAGGTGGTAAAGAATATTTATTAAAATTTGGTGAATTTTTATTCGCTAGTTACATGTAGTTAGAAATCTTAATTTGCATTTTTGTAATCAAAACGATCAAAAAACGAATCACTTAATTTTGATGTAAAAATGGATTATTTTTATTTTTTAAGTTATAAATGAAAAATAAAGTAAATACAATAATTCTTTTATATTTGGTGGCTAAAATAGTCTAGTTATATATTGTTTAACGTTGTTA